GGGTTCACGTGACCCTCTCTACTAGTTTTTTTATTTCGCAGATATTATATATTGTAAAAGGTTAACCGTCTGAAGGCACAACCCTAATAAACCTTCAAGAGATCACTGTTGTTGTTGTCAGTGTTAGTGGTGAGCCTCGCGCTACTCAAGCGGCCCGAGGGCGATTAAATCAATTATTACAGCTCTTTTTAATTTTAACTAACTCTCTATTATATTTCTTTATGATATAATGTAAAATATTACTCTCATTTGCTTATAATATAGTTCTTGAAGTTAACTTCTCTGTAAGATTTAGAATTTGATTTCTAAGCTGTCTTGAAACACATCAAAAAAAAATAATTATAATGGGAGATCAGTTACTTAAATTAAAATGTGAGCTAGGAAACTAGGATGAGTTTTAAAAAAAAATTGAAGACTTAATTTAACTATTTAAGGTGGTCCTCTGAAAGTTATTAATGACTTGGAGTGTAAAGTTGAGTTAAAAATTAGTAAATATCCTTATTAAAATATAAAGTTTTGCTTCAAAATCACCATAAATTTTTTAAGATGGACAAAGTTTCTTTTGTTAATCTAACCAGGGATGCGTCACTTTTGCAGGGGAAATGAGTGGAGAGCAATGTATATTTGATTAAGATTCCGTGGCAGAGAGCAGTTATAAATTATAGTAAAGAAGTCATTTTTCAATTTACAAGTAATGAAAGGAAAGTGTATTTGGAGGAGAGTGGCTCAGCACTTTCAGCATGGTCGACTTACAGGTAGTTATTAACAGAACCCGAAAAAAAGTATGTTTCAATGTTGAAAAGCACCGGCTTCCTAGAGGTAGTGATGTACTATTAGGAAGAAGGGATTACGAAAAGTTAAAGCATAGACTAGTAGATATCGGATTCGGACATCGTCTGTACCAAGTAAGCAATTAAACAGAAAAGACTATAAAGAACTGAGAGCTAAGGAAGATAATGTGAATGAAGTTAAGCATTATAAAGATTGCGATATCAAGAAGGTAGTGAAGACTGAGTTTAAGTAAATAAGGGATAAGCCTCATTTGAAAAACTTTGAGGACGTTGAAAGAAAAATGATATGCCTTTCAGTAAGATCTAGAGATTCAATTAAGCATTTTATATGGGAAAGAAGAACTAAACGGATGACCAGTTTTTAGCAGACCGTATTTTAAACCAACGGAACTTCCGATAAGAATACAGTAACGAAACTTGCCCCACCAAAGGTAGAATTAGAGGATGATTTTTGTACTGTATGATCGCAAGGACAAGCGAAAGCAAAGGATGACTCAACGGGAGTGTTAAAAGTTTTTAAAATTTGGTTTACTAGAATTATCGGATGACTACGATTGGTATTATGGACAAGTGGTGCCCCTAACCCAAAATGGAAACTACATGCGAAAAGGATACACAAGTTAGAAGAGAGACATATTGCGAATGTGTGACAATTGAAGAGGCCTGAACCACCAGTGCATGATTAAGCATTATATAGTTTTTCGTATGGAAAACTTATTTAATATGAAAGCGAAGAAGAGCAACTATTTTACTACTTTAGATAATGCTTAAAACTTTTATCAGCGAGAATTAGATAAAAAGAGTAGAAATACTTTGCTTTTCCATTGCTGGACGGGCGCAGGGTATCGTAGAACTGTATAACCTTCTGATTATGTCAATGCTCTATATGGATACCAAAAGCTCATGGATATCGTAACAACTAGCCTTAAAGACACATATGTGTACAGGTAACTGCTTAGCTTGTACCGACCGTTATAAGGCTTTATATATCCTGAGATCAGATATAAAAGGTTTAACGTAAAACTAAGGCTTTAAAAATTGTAATTTTGTAATTTATACAAATGGTTGGGTAGTTAGGTTAATAAAGAAGGCTCGCGAATGTGTGCGGAAAGGCTAAGAGCTTTCAAATTATAAAGTACCCAGAAAACAAAAAAGAATGTAGGTTTGTTGCAAATACTGAACTACTGGAGTAGGCAGTATTAATGCAAGCAAAGTGTTAAATTTATCTGAGGAGATTAGCAAAAGTTTGCTTGGGAGAAGGCCCTAAATACTTGGGAGGCGTGAGTATGCAAAGACCATGTTAAAACCCACTGAAGAATTAGATTGACGCTAGTGACGTTTGGTATGGGTGAGTGTGATTTCAACGATAAAATGGCCAGTAACAATATATTGCATTTTTAGGTTCTAAAATTTTTACAGTGCTCAAAGAAATTGCAATACTACTAGTAGTGAAGCCTTATCGGTAGTTTGGTGCACTACAAAACTTATGGACCTAATAAAGATTAAGTGGAAATAAGTTTATTTTGGAATCAGACCACAGAAGCCTAATAGGGCTTTAAAAAAAAAGATAATAAAAATGACTATAATAGAAGGAAAATGTTGAAAAGGTGGAAACAATTGATGAATTCGCTTACGTGAATTGCAATTTTTACCAAGAGTTGAAAAATACTATACCTTATTTGCTATTAAAGACCGTTAAAGAGGATACTCAAGTTCACAAGACTCGGCTCTCAAAACCTGTAGTGGCGGCAATAGCTGAAGGTAAAATTAATAGAAATTTTATGGCTACTATGCGTTAAAAATAGTGTCATGCTGGAAAGAAAAAACTTTACCAAAAATATAAAGATTAAGAGGAAGAGAGGGCCTTAATAGACGAACTAGAGGACATTTTGACGTATGCAACGAATTTGCTAGTAAGTCATATACATAAGTGGAGCTGGTGCATTTAAAAAGCAGGTCTAAAATACCGTTTATAGCTTATCCATGGCAATAACAATATTACCCAAACCAAAAAGGGCTGTGATAGTGTTTGGGTAGTAATAGACAGATTCACACAGTATGTACGAATAAAGAAACCTTTAAAGGTCTTTGCTTCTGAGGTTATAGATTTATTTTAAATTCTGTGATTAAGAATTTGATGTATTTGAAGTTTTTAACTCGATCAAGCACCAAATATAAGACAACCCTATCCTTTATTTCTTCGTTTTATTCTAATGTGTTGACCTCAATAATAAAGCGCTAGTAGAATACTTCTTGGGACCTTTTTATCCCCAAGTTTTCGGTGTATTCTCAAAAATTTATTAAAACGCTTCTCATCTTTACCTAACTTGTAAGGTCTCTTTTAAACCAGATTAATTATAATTTTTTTGATTAATAGTCTCATAGCTTTTAATTAACCTACAGCAGTCATCGACTTATTTAGGCCCGATGTAAGCGTGTACATAGAGGTTTAGTATACATAAAGTTGCGCTCAGATAACAGGCAAAAAGATATACCAAACCCGCCTTTCAACCAAATATGAACGCTTAATAGTTTCTGTGAACCTATTTAACTCTTCTAAAGAGAGTTATAAAAAAAGTCATGTATAACGAAAACTTGTTGTTTTATATAGTCTTTTATATTTTTTAATCACACCCCTGGTTAACACTATAAAAGGCACTGCACAACCGCTTAAGTTACTGGGGTCTTTAAAGAACTTCCTTGAAGTCGTTCTTAGTTGTAAGGCCTATCCACCCCATTTGTAAGATTAGATTCTGTAAGTGACACCCTTTGGTACTACGACTTTTAAGAGTTCCGCAAATAACACACATAGCAATAACTTTGTTTTTATTAATAACGTATTCCCAACTAGCAGGAGGAGCTGTGTTCTTTTAAGCTTCATCTTTAAGGGCTATATACACAACATTCTCCACGACCCCATCTCCACTTAATAACAAACGTTCAAGTATCTGGGGCGTTAGTAAATTGATGCTTTATTTCATGCGCAATGTAAACCTTTTTAACTGATTGAAGTTATCCGATTCAATAGGTTTAAGTTTATAACCAATTTTTCTAAAAAATTTTCAAACACGATCTTATTCTTCGTTGAGCAATTAATAGAAAATAAGCAGTAACGCAACCGCCTCCAAGAAGTTTCAAAAACACTCACAAACTTTTTAAAAACAAGCTGGTGTAGAACTTTTCTTAAGTAAGATTATAAAGTTAAGCTACTAGAAATATAATCCATACAACCTAATGTTACTTTAATGCACGACGTATATTATTTCGACAAACTACTGTGTCCCCTGCTAAAGTCATAAATGCTTTTGTTAAAAGTCACACTATCTTTAGTACTACACCTACGACAAGAGCCACTCTTATAAGTAAAAAACCCAATAAATTTTTATTAAATTCTCAACCATTATTAGTGTTTTTGCAAAAGTGTTCATTACGCCCTTAACTTAGGCAAAAAAGTATTCTTATAAATGTTACTTCCCCAACTTTAATATTGCGTTTTTTTCAACACCAAGATATTTAGTGTTTTCCACAATTTTTGTAAATAAGCAAATTAGTAGATCGCCGCTAACCTTCACAACTGGTCTTTATAAAACTCCTACACTGCATTTCGTAGTACTACTACTGCACCACCAAAGTTATGAAGTCAACTAAAACTTGAAAGTTAAACTAAAATTGCAGTCTAGATAAAAAACTTATAAGCCATATTAGTAGGTATTTTAGTAGGTAAACTTAGTAAAAAATTCAAATTTTAAATTTTATAAAAAGTTAGTGATCATCGAGAACTCTATTATATAAAAACTAGAGGAAAAAAATTCTTTTATATAACAAAAACATATCCTTTTTCAAAATATAAAAGACATGCTCACTATTAGTGCAGTATAAATAATAAGAAACTTAGGGTTAACCCCCTTTAATTGTTGGCTTTTTTGTCTTTAACTGCTAAGCTTGGTCAACAACGCAACATCGGCCGGTGAGCTCTTTAAAAATTAAGCTTTGACAATGCAGATCAACTTATAAGCCTTTTAAAGTTAAAAAACTTATATTATCGAAGGCAAATGGCCGTATAGTCAGAGATCCGCCCACTCCTTAACGTTATTAAGGTAAAGTCAACTAACCCAGACTACTAACCTTGACATATTAAACCTAAACACTGACATGTGGTCTTAGCAAAATTCTTTGATGGTCTGCCCATTTTTCAAACGTGGTTTTTTCCGTCCTTCTCTCCTTTCTACTAAAAGTAATTAGCCGGAGTAACATGAACAAACTTTGGGAAACTTTTTGTCAATATGGTATATACTTTATAAAAAATGGATTTTTATTATGACTGTTTTACCGTTAAATTATGTATAATAAAGGTTAATATTACATATTTAGGGCAAGAATACACCAAGAATTTTCAAGATTTTTTAGTACACCATTTGGCCAACTTTTATATTTTTGTAATGAATGAATTTTATCATATTATTCAAGTGATTCATAGCTTTGTTGGTCAGTATAATGACCAATTTAAAAATGCTATTAACTTTATAGCGCTTAAGCTTTCTCCTTTAAAACCATATGCCGACGAATTTTTTGAGAAGTATGTTGATACTTTTTTATGGATATTAAAAAAAATAATTACTACTGTATTAATAGTTTGAATTACTTTATTACACGAAGCCTTCCTGAATATTTAAGAAGAGCGCCCATACCGAGAAGTCTTGAACACGTTTCTCACCTTACCAAGAACGACCTTTATTATCTTCTTCCTTTAATTTTATTTTATGTCATTGTATTAGTTTGTACATTTCAGTCGATCTTTATACTATTTAGCACTGATTCTTCTGAAAAGTGGAGATCCTACGCAAAAAAATATAGGGATATGTATCATTATGAAAGAAGACAGAATCAGTCTATAAAAAATAATAGCCATAACAGTACTACAGAAAAGAAGTCGAGCTGTAAGAAGGAGGCTAAATTTACCTAACTTTTCTTTTTGAATAAAATAATAAATTCTTAGGTTTTTGCCATTCTTGCATGCTTTTTTATTACCTTTATTGACCCTTTTATTATATAGTTAAGCTTTTTGATTGACTTTTGTCCTTTTTTTTAATAAATTGTTGGTCTAGTTGATGCTGCTGGAATTTTTTGTCGACGATCGTTTTTTATAATATAATTTATTTGCTTAAATTTTTAAAGAGAATGATAAAAGGTATCTTTAAAATATGCTCTATGATATTTAGTATAGGCCATATAAAGTAAACTGAGCACTGGTTTCAAGTAAGACTTGAGTTTTACCGGTTTTTACTTTTTAATTTTTTGCTACTAGTTTGTCACTGGACGACTAGTAGCTTATAGCGTTTGATTACATTTTTACTGTACTATTTTCGTTTTTGAAAGCGTTGAGGCTTTTAATAAATATTTATTTTTATGTCGAAGTAATAATTTATTGGTGAAACGTTCGTTATTAGCTTAGTTTACAAAGCATATTGAAGAAAGAAACGAAATTTTTTTAATATACATTTTTCTTAGAACTACATTTATAAGCAAAAAGATATTAACCCTTTTTAATTTTTACTAATTAAGCTAAGTTCAGTGCAGAGCGGGAAAGCATGTGAGTTTGAAAAAACTCGTTAATCTGCCCGTACTCACCTTAATATGGCTTGTAGGGGATAGTTGCGTCGATTAATATTATTCCCTATATTATAGTGACTTACAAAGGGACAATTACTTGGGTACGGTGACAATGAGATATGATTAAAATACTGATAAAATCATATTCTTATTTAGTATTTATGTGTTCTTTTTATAACGTGGATATTCTTTTCATAGCAACGAAAATTCAATGGTAAAAAGTGCGTCTATTTACTGAAAAACATAAGCTTTCAAAATAAAATTATAAAACATGGGGCTACCAGCGTTAATAATCTTTAAGCTGTTCAGAATTAACTAAATAATAACTCATTTGTAGTAAAAGTCCTTAGTTAAAAATATGGTCCCACAGTTTTTCACTCATAATTATGCATATTAATTTTCCCTCCTCCCCCCTTTTTTGTCAATCATTCACTTACCTTATAACTCTGACGATACTAAGTCGCAAGTTTAAAATATTTGATACCATTTAATAATCTAAAGATTAAGGGGCTCGCTCTTTTGTATTAGTTTTTATTAAAATTTTAAGACAATTGGCAGCCATTTTCTAATTGTTTACTTCCGCTCTCCTTTTTTGGTTTTAAAATGGTTTACTGGGTACTTAGAATTTATAGCAAACTCAAATGCTCTGTAAACTTTATAGGTAGCGATATTACTAATACCCAATTTTCAAGTAGCCTCTTTTAATATTTTAACTATCTGGTTGACTTGCGTATTCTTCTAGCCTAGGGCTGGCTAAATAGTTTGAAAATTTGGAAAACAACATAACATGAAGGGAATAAAAAATTCTTAAATATTTATTATTTCTTTTTTACTCTTTTATTTAGTTCACTTAGTAACTCTTTACTAAGTTATCAAGAGTTACAAAACAAAAAACGAATCTCTCTACGATTTCCTAAAGACTACATTCTTTAAATACTTTTCCGCCGTAAAAAAATGATTTTTAGGTGGTTCTGTTTGTTTTAAAAAATTTCCTGTTGTGATTCCGCAACTCTTAAAGAGGAGATAGCGCTAACCATGTACAAAGTCTTTATATATTAAAGCTTAGCGAGCATAAATTGCAAAAATATTTCTACTTTATGCATGGTAGTTTAATTCTTTTATTAAAGGCAAATTGTACGGAAAACTTCTGGGTTATTTCTGAGCTGCTGTTTATTACTTTAACTATACTAACTATTCAGCATTTGTTATTATTATCTAAATATGCATGTAATTCTGGCTTGGTCTGTAAACGTTGCAAACACACAGTTATTTTTCTTTGAACAATAGAAAACATTTATAAAAACTAAACTTACCATAAAGAATTCAGGGGGGAAGAGGTAAATTTAAGTTTAACAATTTTTTATTAAGATTGGTACATAAAAAAGCATCTTTAAGGTTTATGACGGTCATTAGCAAATTTCACAAAAAACAGTGTATTATTAAGACGAAACTTAATTTATATGAAAGCAGTACACTCAGAGTGACCAGATGAAAAGAATATTATAAATAATAAATCAATTTTTTAGAACTTGAACTACTCATATCAGTTTTCTCTAGGAAGATCTTTGAATGCAAGTCCTTAACAGTTTCTGATACTGCATTAAAATTATATTTTTTCTTAAACGTAGTATATATCAGACAAATAAGTTTAATAACAAATTCCCCACTCCCCTCTGAAAAATCCTGATAATTACTTAAACACCTAGAACTAACTATACTCAAGATCCTATAATATATGAATTTAGAATATTAAAGGGTTTGTACACACAACCTGAAAGCATTGGACAACAAAACTTTTCTTATCTCTGTCTTTATAAGACTTTAAAGTTATTCGTTTAAATAATGATAGAAATTATAAAATAAGAACTTTTATTATTCACTAGCATTAGCTGAAGTTTCTCGCGTTTATTACCTCAGTGCTAAGGCGCAGGTGGGCCGTACAGCTCTCTGATAACTTTTATATAATTAAATTTACTATCTAATATACATAATATAATTTCTTAATTATAAATTCTAATTATTTTCTTAACTAAAAACATCAGTAGTTGAGAACAATAAACTTGATTTGGAAATGGGAGAAACTTAGCAGTATATAGAATAATCCCTCAGTAACAAAAAATAGAAGTTAATAATATTACATGAACTTTATAACCGTACATTTTTTAGAGCGTATTGTTAAAAATGAATTTGACGACCTTATACGTAAAGAAAACAAACTAAAGATAAAATGTCTATTAAAAAGCTCTAAAATTTACACTTAATAAAGAAGGTCCTCTAGATGACGGTAAACAAGTTGCGTGGCCTTAGTTACTTAAAGAGGTTACAATATGATACCCCTCAAACTAACTGAAATTGTTGTTCTACAGGAAGAGAAAGATAACTAAATGATTGGATTTTTGGGAAGTAAATTGAGCTTATTTCTAAAAGTAGAAAAAAATCAGACAGGCAATTGAAATTTCAAGGCTACATTAAGCATTGGAGAGAAAAGAAATTCGAATATTATCAGAAAATTTTTTCTTATAAGGTTAACCTACCCTAACTCATGAATTAAATTTTTAACTTTTTACATAGCGCAGATATCAAGTCAATTAACTAAAGGTATAGATATATTTTACTCTGATGTGACTGACTCAAATTCTACAGCGACCTGTGAAAAAATTAGAAGAGAACTTTTAGAATTTTTTAAAAAATATATTAACTTATTTAAAGTCTCAGCTACGCGTATATGGATCTGTAGGAAGTAAATTGTTTATATCTAGCATGAGGTTAGTTATTATTAGCAGTTTGCTTAAAATTAATTATAGTTAAACCTCTTGACTTTTATTGCCAATCATACCGGTTCGGTACCTCTTAATCAGGTCTAAAATTTTAGCGCAGAGTTTGTTCCTCCATCTTGACATCGCCTTTTTAAACCACAAGAAACCCTCAAGTAAGGTTTATTTAAACTTCGTATTGCTCGCTCTAACAGGTAGTGCTGGTTACTTGCAGCCAGAAAACCCTTCACTTAGTCCCCACTCATCGGGGTTGACGTACCGCTAGGGCTCCGGTTCGAGAAGTGGTCAATACGCTTATTTGTTTTTTTTTGATGACAAGAAACATAAAATTGTACTAATTAGTAGTTATTCAATTATAATAAGAAAAAATAACTCCGTAAACCCATCTAAATTATGCTTACATTTTATGGTATTTTATGATATTATATATACTTAAACTTTTTTTTTATACGGGCTTGATTTCTGCATCCACGATTGATAGTTGTAAACCTTATGTTTCGCAATTTAGAATCTTGTTTAGTCCCTTAATACTGACAAGATTTTTTAATTCTTGACTTTTTTTTAAAAGTGATATAGATTTGGTCTTATTTGTTCCAAAATCTAATGATACGGAAACATTAAAGCATTTAAGCCATATTATTTGCATTTACAATGAAAAAAAGTATTGAACTTATTTTAACAGTCAGAAAACCAGTTTTGAAACTTTTACATGTGGATTCGGGTATAGAGGTTAGTTCTATGAAGTAGGAATGTTTTATGTAGTAGTTTACCACCAAAATATAGGTTGATTTTATGGTAAATTCTGAGGAACTGCTCATTAACACCAATATTATTTTAAAATACGTTAATATTGACAAACGGATCCACAAATTCTTACTTGTCATCAAAAACTGGGCAAAAAGTACTTATTGATTACTAAGGGGATATTTAAATTATCTCATTTTTTAGAGCGAAAAATTTCTAATTCTCGACAAGGCTCGCTTTCCTCGTATGGTTGGTGGTCACAAATTTTTTTCACCTACAAGGCTGCCCGGTTTTACTAATCGGTTTAATATTTTTAACTTAATTAAAAATTTTATGATAGTTATTTTACAAAATTAATCGTGAAATTGAAACACTACTAAAATTCGCATTACCTGGATATCTTGCTAATTGATTTTTCGTAGATGAAAACGCTGACACCTGGAATTTAAGCATGAATAGTGGTGAACTTTTGGTTTCATTCTTTGCTTTTTATTGGCTACCACAAGAAAACAGCAGTAAATGCTTAGACGTATCAGTAGACACACAGGTAGTTAACGGTTAAAACTTACTTTAAGGGCTTTGAATGCATTTTCAAAACTTAGTATATGCAGAAAATGTTTTAGAATGAAGGTACAGTATTTTTAGACCCTGTTGAACTTAACAGAGATCTCGGAAACTCATACATTCCCCAGAGGGCCAATGACTTATACACAACGAATTTAATCGGGCCCTGGAGCTTGCTATGGTTCTCAATACTAAGAAATTAATGTACGATATAAAAGACTGGTTAATATATAATTAGAGCTGCTTTGAAAGAAAAAAATAATTTTGAGTTTATTAACAAGTTGTAGGAAGAACCCGATTCTACAATTACACTTCCAATTAGATATATACCTACGAGAAGTGGTAACTTACAAATGAATGTGTACCAAATATTATTGTAAATTATAAGTTTCCGCAGAGAACGACTTAACGGAAGCCTTCAAACTCTTTAATAATAATAAAGAATTACAATTATCTTGCGCTTCGCAGAATTTAAAAAGGAGGCGCCTGAACAGCGTTCTTTATTAATGAACATTGCATCTTTGTAGTACCAAAGAAAAGGAAAAGACTTATTATGATCATTAAAAGGGATTTTGATAGTTTTGATAATTTGTTACTTGTGTAAATTCCATTTTAAGAGTCATTTTCAATTGTACATCGTTTGACAGCTTCATTAAAAGTCCTTCCGAACCATCAAATGGCCAGCTAGTGCTTGTGGGCGAAAATAACTTACTTGAACACAAAAGTTTTCTTATAACATTGTATTATATAAAATTTAAAGGCTAACCCTACAAATAGAGGCTAATAGCAAATTCAACTTAAATGTCGATAAAAAACACGTTTTTGGCTATATAACTTTTCTGGATAAGCCTAACAGAAAGTTTCGATTGCATTAAGCTCATATGGTTGGAAACAGGACATAATGGAACTGACTATTAAAGAAATTGTTGTGTTGGATATTACAGTCATAATGCCTTTACGAATAATTAATGCAATGGATAAAAAAATTACATCCTGGTCTCATGAATGCCGCTTTAAAAGGTGAACAAACACGTGCTTTGCCGACGGAAGTGCCTGTGGAACAGATATCTGACTATTTTCAATTCCTAAAAAATTTAAATAGCTCCCAAAGGCAAAGAGACTTCTTTGTAGACAAAGTAATAATATTTAAGCCTCTAAATTTTTTAGGGAAGCTGTTAAGAAGGTTCTTTGCCTGGTGCTGAGGCCTGAACAAAACAGCTCAAACCTTCAACTTATAAAAGGACCACCAGGAACTAGAAAGGTAGTGTTCTTGCCCAAACTGAGTTTACACGGCACTACTCAAGTATTTTATTATGTTTAGACTGCCACTATTCCAACTTTACCGAAGTGTTTACTGACTGTTGAAAACATCCGTATATTAGTGACAGCGCCTACGAATTGTGCCATTTGTGAGCTTGTCAGGATGCTCCTTTCTGTAGTAGATCAGCATCCAAAATTGTTTTGTCGACAATATCCGATGTTCTACTTGTCGGCTGCGAAAGGAAACTAACCAACGAAAAATGTAACTTAGGAATATATTTTCTTCTGGCTTATTTGTTAATATAACCTCACTTCCGTAGGGGTGCATTCTTTATTACTAGATAATAGATTAAAATTACTGACCCTTTCTCTGGACCATTCTGCTAAGTTCATTGAGACTCTTGAACACACTACAAGAAAATGTTATAACGACTTACCATAAACGTATAAAATAAGAAGGGCTTAACGAAGGTTAACTATTCAAAGCAACATTTAACTTTTCAACCAGTTCTTATATTTCGCTTAATAATATAGAAGAAAAAAAACATATAAAAAAAGAAGAGTTTAACGAAGGTTGACCACTAAAATAGTTAACTTTTACACCAGTACTTATATTTCGCTTAATAATATAGAAAAAAACTGCTGCAGGATGTATTCAAAATAAAGTTTGAAAAGCTTTTAAAAAAAATCTATCTCTCAGTTTTGAAAGGTTTTGGGTGAAAGTGTTTTACTACACTCGGAAAGTTACTAAATGGTCTCTTTATTAAAATATTACTTCAAACTTTTTAGTACCTATATACGTTAATATAGAACTGCAAGTTGTGTGTAGTATCCTACCTAAACGCTTGTTTCGCTCGACATTTAGCGATAAATCTATGTCTCCTAAAAATCTTGATGAACACGTTTCAATTCTTACTAGTATGAAAGACAACTTGCAATCACAACGGACTCTCAACGCGTCTAAAGCTCTTTTACTTTCCACCGTGTTGGGATACATAAAAGTAAAGTCAAAATTAAGTATCAAAGACAAAGCCCTTTTCAATTTCTACTAAAGTAGTTTTTTCGACAGTTAGCGTGGCAGGTATATTAAGTTTAGTCCCGAGTCTTATAATTACTTACAAACTCTTGTTATAGGAAGAAATATATGTGAACTCGGTCTTCCTTTCCATGTTGCCATTGTAGATGAAGCCACGCCAGTTCTTGAGCCTGAAATAGCTATAATTTTATCTCAGTGTTACCTTAAGTCCCTGGTTTTAGTAGGTATGCCACGCATTAAAGTAACTGATGAGATTACAGTGAAAGTGGTTACTCTCAAATGCTTTCTTTTGTTATTTTTTTACATGCATGATTAGGCAATGAGGATCAGTTGCCGCCACTTGTATTTTCTAATAAACTTAAAAGTCTTGACTACCTTGGCATGTTCCAAAGACTTATTTTACTCGGCTATCCTTGTTCCCGCCTCGGCGTCCAGAACCGTATGCACCCAAAAATAAGCAAATGGCCGTGCAAGACTTTTTACAAAGGTAAATTAAAGGTAAAATTCTATATTATTAAATACTGAGTTTTTATTATTAATTTAAATATGAGAAGATGGCGTAATTGTTCTCTCAGGCCTGTATTTAAGTCTATCAAACAATAAGATTCGAAATATTATGGTCTACAATATGGAGCTTAGTAGTCCCGAGACGGTTAATAAGGTTTAAATAACAATGAAGAAGAAAAAGTTGTTAGGACGATTATAAAAACTTTATGTAATAGTATTGACAAAGATAATGATACCTATAACACATTTTTTTATTGCTTTTTTTAAACATAAGATAATAAAAGCAGTGGAGATAAGTTAATAAGGTCCATAGGAGTTATACCCCCTTACAAAGAACAAGTAAAAAAACTTAAAGGTTTGGATATTTTAAGGAATTGAAAGAAGTTAATAACAAAATTTTGATCCCCGTTAAGACAATAGACGGCTTTCAAGGTTAGGAATGCGACGCTATTATCATTACGATGGTATTCATTATAATGATTTGCCCTCACATGAGATTAGTATAGGAAACCCCAAAAGTAACCCAATTTTCAAAATCTTTATTAATACTATATTTACTGAAACACGCTTTGGTAGGTCCGCTCAAACACAAGAGGCGAAGTCAGATTTTTGGCCGATAAACATAGGCTTAACGTTGCTTTAACAAGAAGCAAGTACTATTTAATAATAGTTTGGAGTTTGGAGTTCCTCTCAAAACATTGTAAATTTAAGACAACTCTTGTTGTGAAATCGTAAGAATTTATTTATTTAGATTTATGGAAGAATCTTTTTGCTTGTATTTCAAGGAAAGGGAAGGTTATACCTTCGGCAATAAAAAAAAAGTTCACTCTCAAAAATAATGAACTAATTCCAAATGTATAATAATATGCTTTTGTATGCCTAAATTTTTTTCGGCTTTTTGTACATAATAATAAAGCTTACAAGCTTACTACTTTCTCTATTCATTTCTTATTGTTAAAGCAAAAGCTTTTTAACCTTCTGTAAGCTAGAAACTTAACTTATAATTGTTCTTAGATAGTAGCTTTTATATAGCATTATTAAATTTATAGAGATCATAATTCTTGGTAAAGTGGGCATAATAGTTGCGGGAAAGTATTAAAAAATTGCCTTGAAGATTAATATACATATATTTAGTTTATACAAGTCAAAGGAAAACCTATTCCTAAATTTTTACCGGAAGTAGTATATATTTTGTAACAAAAATTTAAAATAATGTTCGCCAAGAAATTATTTTCTTTTAATTTGTAAACGAGGGCTGCTCGCGTAATATATATAGTACCTAGGTCTATATAGGGACTATACTAAAAAAAACAGTGCAGTCACGCACCAGAGGCCGGACAGGAAGAATGCAACTGCCACCAGCGCCCCAAGAACGGAGCAATAGTCCGAGGTAAACATCACTCATCATGAAGCTCTAATTGTCAACGCTTTCTTCGCAACTAATCGCTACGAGACAAGAGAGTGATGCATAATTTAACTGATTTTGTTAACGATTTAATAGTGAATGCGTTAACTACACCAGCTCTCTAGGCACATCACGAAGGAACGCTTCAGAGGGCAATGATACTCAACGCGAAGCTTTCATAACAAGTTTAAATAGTCGACTAATTGCGTGTTATGTTAAAGTAATATACCCAACAATCGCCCCAAACAAGTCTAGCTACCGAAGCTGAATGAACAAGTTATAGCAATAATGCATGATCGAGTGTTACGGGGAAGATTTCACATGCAATGGACTAAGCCTGCTGTGAATTTTTACCATTTTTAAGAGCAACTGTTTCCGGCTGTACGTCACGAAACTCTAGAACTCTCTCAGGCAAAGTGCTGCCCTTAGCCCAGAGCAATCTACAAGAAGGTACCATAATCACGTTTCCTCAGGTTTCATGGTTAATTAGCAAATCGTGTCAAAATAATGTTAAAGTTGATAGTTTTGTGGTTTACAGTAACATTCAAGTTGACTCCCTTGGAAAGCAGAGGGTGACACGACCCACAAATTGTTATACCTCCGTTCGCTCGCTGTTCCACCTTAGGTTGCCTTTCAAGCACCGTAGTAGACCCTAGCCAACATGTGCCGCTAGGACCAGCACTGAAGCGAGGCGCGAATTTAATATACAGGCGCGATCTTTTTCATGCGCTTTTACGATGACACTCCTGGGGACGGAACCTGAATCCTTAGGTGCGCAAAGTGCTTACATCTAGGACAACAGTCACAAGATAAAGCAAACAGTCAGAGCCAAAACAAATCGCTAAACGAAATTTACCGCCAAGTAGCCGACCTACACAGTTGCCAATGTGAATTAACCACAGAGGACTTACTTTCTGTGATCAGAGCACTAGAATGGTTCCTTGCGCCAGACGAGCTTTTAAAATAAAAAAATATATCTTAAAAAAAAAAGATGATATATAAGCGTTGGTACAAGCGTTAGCAACGAGAGACGAAAAAACGCATCTCTCTTGTGTACGGTCGATTCTTATGCTTAATTATTCTAGTAAAATACACTGAATCGAAAAGGTTTAAAAAAATGTGTCATTAGATATAAAACTAGTGCAAACAGCACTAAAATTAAGTCAAATAAATTATATACTAGTAAATTGTACTGCAACAATTGTAAACTTGTATGTCAACGTTCGCAATTCATATATTTTACGACACAAACTTTATTGTATCTATAATATGAAGGGAGCACTAATTTTTGAGCGCCGTCAATAACGCTAATGAAGACGCAATAAATGGAAGCAATGCTACTACGTAGGTTACACCTACATCTACTTAATAAAAAAGGGTTTTAGGTTCGAGTGCGAAGCGTCTTTAAACTTTACTTCCTAACGTTGAACCATTTATGAAACTTCTATTACCTTGTATAATTTCAGATAATTTTATCACCTAATTTTACTACTAGGGGGTGTTAGAACTTTATGGCCCTTCTTCCCAGACTTTTAGAGCGAGTCAATTAATAAAAGGCCACTAAACATGCTCTTACTTTGGAAACGGTTTAAGGAACATATAAGGACTCCTTAGGCTTTAGAGCTAGGCCTTGGTTAACTCAAAATTTTTTTTTTTCCTTTAGCTAATTGCATTAAACACAGGTTATCATATACTTTTAGAAGACGCGACTCGAACACGGCTTTAGAACAAGAGCCAGGTAAAGCCCAACTAGTTTAGCACCATCTCATCTATAATCACTGCTAATAAATTTTTAATCTAAGAATAGTTGATCCATTTGGTCTCCAAGATAGAAAAGCACGTCATAAGCTTTTTTTCCCTCAAAAGATTAATTTAAGTTAGTAGATATAACGATATTGACTACTAATCTATTGTAAAGCTATCACTCTGGATGTTTGGTTTAATGTTACCGTCTTGGTAAGTGCAAGGGCCTTAGCAGTAGGTAAATAGTATATAACTAGTCAAGTTAAAAACATTTCTACCGTAGTACGTTAAAGGGTTCACTAATATTATGATAAAAATGTTCCATAAAGTGCTATAGAAGCTGCTTAGCCAAAGATACAAAGACCAAGTTTCACATTACACGCATGATAGCTTATTAACTCGGTAGTGGCGCGTTCTTGTCATAACTACTAGCACCAAGGCAAATTAGTCAATCTACGAGAATTTGCCTAGTAAGTGAATACATTGTACTATACGGCCTTACTGAGAACAATTTAGACTCCTAAAGAGCGCCAGTAGAACGAAGATAATTATTTGCAGATAGAAGCTAAAGTTTCAACTGATATAGATAATGACCGTCAACTAAAGCCTTTAAGTGTTCATTAATCGTGCTATCTTTACTTAGGCTATTTATCAATTTATATCTTAGGGTTATTGATGTATTTGATTATCTCCAATAATACTTTAAGGAATCCTCTAGTAAGTTTGTAAGAGAACTTATAGATTGATTTTACTATGCTCTATATCTATTCTCTAAAATTAGTTAATATAGAAACCAAAATGATTACTACATAACTCCCGCCATATTCATAATGAATGTTCTGTAACTGACCCATGTATAATAAAAGGATAACTCAAGTCTAGTTGTTGTTTGAGATAACAACATTAGATGCCAATACATCTGTTAGAACTAGCTCTAATGTCGATATATTATATACAAAGATAAAGCTACCTCAATGCACTCGAATAAAGTTTAAGATTATTAATAGTTTCTATCTCCCCGAAGTTCTAAAAAGGGAGTTAATCAGCCTAACATGAATGAAATAGCAAAGGTTCTCCTTTAATAGAACAAAACTAACTAACACTCTAGAAAGGATAACGAGATTACCTTACCAAAGTAGGAGGAAATAAGAGAATGGAATTAAATTAAATCCTTTAACCTTTTGGGTCTTAGGAAAGGAAGGCACGGTCTCTGAGAAGGTCAGAAATTAGGCCGCCCTTAGGGTCTAACAGCGTAAATTGGATTTAATTTAGTTTACTTTTTTCGTTCTATTTTAATGCTAAATCTCTGGTTTCACCAGTTTTTTGCTGACAATCCTTGTTATAAAGGAATTTACTTCAAAGATCCTGCTACTAGTTTAACTGAAGGGTTAATTCTCTTTCATGATAAGACTTTAATTGTAAGAAAGTACTCATCTTCCAACCAAGATTACTTCTCATGGAAAGAACTTAAGGATACGTTTACAGCCCTTGCTTGAGTTGGGTTAGCGCATCTCCTTCAGCTTCATAAGATCTACTTTACTAAGCGAGTTAAACTTAAACTGTTTTAGGGGCTTAGTACACAAACACTTCACTTGAGATTACTCTGAAGTTAAATCAGGACTTACTTGGTCTAACTTTCCTCAAACTTTGATAAGCTCTTAGTTAACGATGCAACCTTTAGAGCCAGTCAGCTTTCTTTTAACGATAAAAATCTACTAACTCTTTGGTTGACTTACTTTAAGAATAGTAACCCTGAGATCTCCGCATGCAGAGTGGTTCGAGCTTTCCACTAATGAAACGCATTTTTTTATGCACAATCATTGCCTGACCTTACCTGCTGTATTTGTACCTTCCCGGGGTGAATACTTACCTAATTAACCAATTTATTTCCTTTCTTGGTTTTAAGCTCAGCTCCTGTTTCTTATGGTACTTCTACTCGAGGATACCGTCGTTACCTCCTGGAAGACAATCTGGTATATGGACCCTTATCATACGGGTTTTGCTTTCTATTATCATAAGTTACTAATTTTATTGAAATCTTTCAAGGGTTGTCCGAGTTCGGCTTAGTATCTCTTATTGAACGTGACAATAAAAAATACTTTACTTATCCTGATAATAGTTTAACTGCCAAGATGATACTCTCTGGCAGAATTCAGGTATGACTTATCTGGGGCTAGGTTTAACAGTAAAAAAATTTATTACATATGAGTATTTCTTAAATCTTAGCCACGTTATTCACTCTCTTAGCTATACAAAGGCTTCAGGAATCCTACATTTTCAAAATAAAAATCTAACTAATTATGAAAAAAAAAACTTAATTAAATTATAGCAGGCGGTATACTAGCTCCTGCGGAGGGTTAGCCTGGACTCACAGAGGACTACTTCCTCTAGCTAAAGGTAATAGGCACATTGACATCGCAAATTATGTCTACCCTTCATAAAATAAGATTTTAACCAACTTTGGTTCCATTAATATCCCTTTACTAAAGCTAGAAACTAAAATCTGGGTAAAAATTTCTCATTTATTAAGCAATTCTCTAAAAGATCAAACTGTTGTTAAAATATTTGAAGATAATATTCAATTTAGGGACTCCTTGCCTAGTAATCTACTCCATTCTCTGAATTTAGGTTGACTTAAAGCCCTAACTTGAAAAATTTTACTACAAATAAGGGTATATGCTAAAATATAATATTAAGGTTAATTTAACTGCTAATAGAATATAATATAGCTAAATCTTTAAATCGAGTTTAGTTGATTGAATGATTTACATTGTAAAAAAAAAGATGGCAATATTTTGTTAATAAAAATAGTTGTAGCTAACATTTTTTAGACGCTACTAGCAGGAGTAATCTTGATTAAATTAGCTAAATTATACCAAAATAAACCAGATTCCTAAATTGTGCAATAAATAAAATAATATTTCACAGTGAATTTTTACTTTGTGGCTAAAGTTCTAAGACAATAAGCAATGATTAACTTTAAAAAATGTCATCGAAGCTCCAAGTACTAATTTTTTTTACATTATACTTTGTTTTAAAAATAAATAACCAAGGTTATCTTACCGCCTGTTTACTCGTGCTTTAGTGGAAGATTAAAAAGTAGGCTTGAGTACTCTCTACTACTCTTGGCACTTACCTATAAAAAACATCTTTTATTGTCTTAATTATTATCTTGATGCTTACATGGGCTTTTTTTATGAAATTATTACCAAGAGCTTATTGACATTTTAGCCAAAAAGAAATTGGTTACTAGCATGGTAAATTTATCCTAAAGAACGTTAAGCGTATTGGATTAAAGTAACTTTTTTTATATACTGCGCTATTTTTACTCGAATGCAATTGTCATAACTGCTGGGTTATAAGCGTAAACTCAACAACATATGCTACATGACAAACCGTTGTTGCCTTGATCTATAATAACGGTCTTTAATAACTGTGCTTTAACATACAAACTAATCTAAAAAAGTAACATTTTCTAAAAATGTAATATGAAGGTAGTTTTCCCCTAGTTAAGTGTTTTTATTGTAAACAGACGAATTGTATGATAGTGAGGTGGTAGAATAAAATAACCTAGTAAATCCTATTAGTTCGCTAAGTCTGCACAAATCTACTAACCTAGTTAATTAACTTGGTTCACTTTAACATGGTTAATTAGAACCCTTTCATGCTGGACATCATGTGGACAATATTAATGATAAGCAGTCCAACCCTAGTTTAAGGTGGGAACAATTCGTTTTATCCTGTAAGCTTCTTACTATACTACCCAAGTTTTCAAGAGGTAAAGACAGATATGACTATTATCTCCTGTTAGATAAAACTTTTGGCTTGATCTTAGGTCTGTTTTATTGACGAGTAATGTTAGGGCTCTTGATCTAAGCTAGGTTTCGTACCCTACAACTTATTAAAATTAACCAACAAATTTCAGAAGGTCTTCTTTAAACAGACAATATAAAATATAAGAAAAAAACTACAAATACCTTCTTTGAACAGCACAAACAACTACAGCACTATTTTTGTTTATTTTAAGGCTTACCTGTATGAAATACCGCTAAACTTATTAAAACGAGCTAGACCCAGAAGGTGCCATTATCTTTTATCCTTTCAGGGGGGTACCATAATCTAATTATGTTTACTTTACACTTAATTATCTTGGATTCTAGTAGAATTATATAGTTATGAACACGATTTTGGACCTGTAGTTGGTCCTTTGGAAACAGCTGTGCATGATTTAGTGTTATTTTACACTATAATTAGGCACCTTGTTTGATCCGTACTAAGAGAGATGTTTTTTTTTCCGTCTCTCATTGCTTGCGACCGTCCTTGCATGCTACTTTCACATGTTTAACTTGAACTTTGTGCGGAGACTCTCATGCAACTTTTGTCGTCGCTGCGACCACAGCGAGGTTAGAGTCGGCTATCCTTTAAAGATCCCATTGGGGCAGCTGTGCAGGTTGGTGCTATTAATGGTAGCTTTAGACGCTCTTTGTGCCTTCGTTGGCTTGAAACTAACTTATGAGCCTTCGCGATTGCAGTGTACATTCTTCATAAAGGCGAGGAATGCTTTTTATCCCTGGATGCCTATCGTACAGTGCTTGTAACTGACAAGCCTATATATAAAATTCGCGTATGTCGTCCCTCTTAGTCCTGGTGGCTGCATAATGGCTACGCTCTAATGCAGTGGCAAGGTTTCCATGCGAAGGCAGAACTGTCACATCAAAGTAAATTTATCTTGATCGTGTCACGTCGCCCTCTACTGTTGAACAGGTTTACGAAAGAACTTTGACTAATGCTGCTCAATGAAGTTCCGTAATAGTTATCATCCTCTCACCGTGACTATGGTATCTTCCTGATCAGGCTTTGGATCATTAGCGCTATATTACTTCGGAGAGCCGCAAGTTGTGTGGCGCAACGTATGGAAAGTTATACTCTTAAACTTGGTAAAAACGGAGGTAATAAGGTCTTGAGGCAGGTTCTATCTTAACTTATCTTTGGATGCAAAAACTTGTGGTGTTCGCTGCATCTTGATTGCTGATTAAACTTTTTTCATTCACGGATTGAGCCTGGTTGCTTTAACATAATAATAAACAAAGAGATCACTACTCTTTATAATTGTTATGCAAGCTTCGCGTTGAATACTGGCATTGCCTTCTGATGCGAAATACTCATTCGTCGCCTCATCAGATCATGGAAAGCCCTAGGTGAGATCTTGGGTGTATACATGCCAACTCATGCAAGATACTATTGTCAACCAGCGATTAATTGCGGACGAAGGCGTGGGCAAAAATAAGAACTACATGAGTAATGGCAGCTAGTGCTATGCTCTGTTCGGAGCCGCTGGTTATATTCTTACCTTTGATCCGCCTGTGTGGAATGGTACGTACTGTCCGCTTTAGTACGGTAGATATGGCTTGTTACTAATAGTGCCAGTAACTAGTATTATATATATCCAGCGGATCCTTACATTAGCTTTTAAGCTGTTCTTCAATTCTAATTTTCTATATATAATTTCTTTGCTATCTAACAACAGTATAAATTTTCTTTTGCTAAAATTAGTTAACGGGTCAAGAACGGTAAGAATGTATAGAATACTATTAGGCAAAGATAACTTATCAGATGAGTTATTTATTTAGCAAAATGTAAAAGGTTTAGTAGCCTTTATTCAGAAATGTCTTTCTTAAACACTTCAAAATATTTTTTTTTTATTTCAAGCTAGAGTATATTATCCCATTAAAAAAACACAAAATGGCCTATATCATGGTAATTTGCTGTCCAAGACACCCAATAAAAGTTAAAAGAACAAGCAATAAATTATGTCTGTTATACAAATATCACGAAACTTTACTTAAAGTTCAAATACCACTTAAGTTAAAAACTTTTAATAAAATAAAAAAAAATCTAAAAAATTTACGTAGAGATAACGCAGTTACTGTAATATTCTGTGTTTTCTTTCTAATTTCACGGAAGTTTGTATTAAACAAAATAATTTGATATCGGAAATAAGTGCACAGTGTGGTGAGGCGGCCACCTTATTGTGCACGTGGCCTCTTGGATCCTTTAAACATTCTTTTTCCCTTTAGTGTAGTTATGGTAAGTAATGGAGAAAGAAAATGACAATCTACTGGAATTATTATCCTTTATATCCTCTAACTGTTTTGAGGACTCTGTACCTTCCATTATTAAAATTTTACGACAGTTAAAAAAATTTCAGTTAACCCAGGTTGCATTGCTTAAGCGCTTCTATAAAAGATAATATAGTTTACATATTATTGATCACTTGTTTGCTTTAAGTAAAAGTATAAATTTTGATAGTTTATTTTTAACTATTTACTCAGGAAAGTTCGAATTTTGAAGTTTTACTCTATTGCCTTAATCGTCTGGTTCGTGGACTTTCTACAGATCTCCATTCAGTCCGGCACTGGTTATTTATTAAGATAACTAAACTAAATTCTTTTACAATTCTTTTTTAGTTTCGTTATTGTTTTGACAGAATTTCTTTCAAACTTTCCTGATATCAGTACATCGAGATATTTAGAACTTCTTGATAGAAAGATAGAAGTTTTAGGTTAACAAGAGCTCTACTGCCCGCCTTTTTTTTATTCTTACTATGCATAGGAAAACTAAAAGGTTATGAAAAGCGTTATTTCTATCTCGGAAGAATTTTCGGCCTTGCTGCTTTGTTACGTTCCAGCAGACTTAATTATCTCCATCAAGAATCGTTATGTTCTGTTTTCAATCAACTTTTAAGTATTGCACAGAAAAAGTCATATATGGCTGAGGTTACTTCGATCTTCATTCTGAAGATCATAATTCCATTTAAAAATATTATTAATAGATTTCGTATTCCATCATAATTGATAGTTTGAGTAGAGCTGAGGGGAAAACTTTTACAAACTGTTTAATACCTATAATAAGAGAATCTTTTTCTGAATCGTTTCTAAACTGGTCTCCTGAAATATTTGCTCTAGCATTAGCTCTACAGGCAAAATTAAAGGACAACGAGCTGAAGATTATTTTCGGTGCTACAGCGAATGATTTTTCATTTTTCATTTTTAAGTTCGTCTACGTTTTATAAAGGCGAAGATTTTTTAATCTTCCAAAGAAAAAAATGTTCCGCGATGAAAACGATTCTTCTCTCGTGTTGTGAAATTGATAAATCTTTGCATATCGCTTGGCAGCAAGTTTTACTTTACTTTGATAATAACAAGTTCGGCTGTCTAAAATTTTTTAAAATTTTTTGGAATGTCGTTGTTAGTCAAGTTTTCCTACTGTCTAAAGTTTTTTTTTCTAATTTTCTTTTTTTTAGGTGGACAACGGTCTCTTTCTTTCCACCCACCACAGGAAATTCGTTGGCTTTCAAGTCGCTGAAAAAGTTATTAATTTTCTTATTTCTGCTAATCACAAAGAAGAACATAGTAATCTTCTGGAACATTTGCTTTCAGCTAATTTACTGAAGTGTCTGATAAGCAGCTTGATGGGTGACGCATCTATCATCACTCTCTATTTATAATTTAAAAGTACTCTGCGCAGACCAGTCTGCCGTCCTTTACAACGCAGCTCGGCATCTAGTGCAAGTGCTGGTTAATGTCCCTTCGTACTGCGCACTTCCCTGCATCCGCCGATTTTTGGGGCCTCACGGGCATTTCTACTTTGACGAAGTCACTAAGACAACTACTGTGCAACAGCTGCTTTTAAAGTTGGATATTTCTTCGGTACGCCTCGTGGCTTGATTAGGCTACTTTGCCTTCTCTATTTTATGTTTAATGCAGCTGGAAAGTTATTTGGATTTTCTGTTTACTTCTTTTATAAGAGTGGAAGGAATTGAAAGTTTGACCGGTGAAAAAAACAGCCGCTTAGTGGCTAGTAAAGCATTTTTATCTCGGCGTTCTACTATTAAAAAGATGAGAGGTTTCAATAATAGTTATCGTCACTTTATTTTTTAATTATGTTTTTCTAGGCCTGCTTAGCCTTCCTTTAACTGTTCAAAAAGAAGTTATAATTGGGAAAGTAGTCAAATTTTTATCGCTTTACGGTGATGTTTTTATTAAATTTTGAAAAACTCTATTTAATTGTGTTTAGGAAATTTTACTGTGAACGGTAAAGAACCATCTCTTGAAACACTCTTCCCGTCTGAAACTTACGTGGCTGCCCCCATCCCTCCTCTCTGCTCAGAGACACGATTTCTTTGCCAATCCCTGGCGGCCTACATTTTCTCCAACGTTAGCGCTTGGCTACATCGGCCTTCTAAGCGTAACACCAAGCAAAAAAGCACGGCTGGCAGCTTTGAGCATTTCTCTGAATTGCTGCTTGTCGAACATTTTCGCTTTAACAAGCAGCTCTTCCTTCTTTCTTTGCGGCGGCATAGCGCAGTAGCTTCTTTGCTAGACGACCAGTTTGCTACGTTATTCCAATCGGCCCTAGAGCTGGAGCACAAACTTTTCGTTCGCCAGAGCTTAGATTCTGCACTTTCGAAGCGCTTTCGGGGCCTTTACCTACTATTATTGCACTGCGGAGTTTTGATGCTGCAAGAACCCCACGAATACGCTGGCATTGTCAGTGACCTGCTTAAATGTAACGAGAAATTCACTACTGAAGATGATGCTGCTGGTCCTGGTGCCGCTGGTGTCGTAGTGGACATCATTCTATCACTGCTGGCGAGGCCTGCAGTATGCATACGGCCTCTCTGCTTGGAAGTGTTTTGCTGTATCTCCCCCTTCCTTGATGGTGAGAGCCTTTTGCATGTCGTTGAAGTACTAGAAGTGGACGAGAAGACTTTTGTTAATTCGCGTCTGCAAACGAGCGATATTGAGCAGGAGGAAAGTGAAGAAGATAACCTGTGTTATGAAAGGGGAGTAGAAGAAGTGGATACGGTCAGAGAGCATTCACAGGAAACTGCACAGGAAGAAAGTTTTTAATTATTCTTTTTTTTTTTCCTTTTTTTTAATTTCATGACGCTCAGTTTTCTTTTTTTTTTATAAAGTGCCCGACTTGACTGATGAGCAAATGGCTCAGTTTGATGGGGCGCTTTCTCTTATATTCAAACAACGCAAAGAAATTCAACAGCGTAAAAAGGAGACCGCCGCTCTATACGCTCATCTTCAGCTCCGCGTAGTAGAACTTTTGAATGGTTTTCTTTTTTTTAGAAGCACTGTAATAGCTAACTATATTTGTTTTTGTCAAGTATACCTTCAGGCACAGCCAACCAACCCCCTATTGCTGAGGCTCATTGCTCCCTTGTTAGTGGGGTTTCGCATGTGTACTAAGAAGACTACTGGACAAGCTAATCATCTCGCTAGCCTTATACTTCTCTTGCTGAAAAAGTTGTTTAGAAGTAAAAAGGAAGCTTTAATTATGATGGTGCAATTTTTTGCTCTGCTATGATTTGATTATTTTATTTTACTTTGAGTGAAGGCGAAGGGAGCAAGTGAAGAAATTGTGTCTACGCTGAAGCGTGTTGTTACTCTTTTTGATAAAACTAGCGAAGCGCGAGTGACTGGGCCCTCGTTGGAGGCGATCCGCTTTTTGCTCGACCTAGCAAAGGAGCATTCGCAGGTTAAAAAATCATTGCTTGTTTGTGATTCACTGCTTACACTTACTTTAGTGGCCTGCTAAGTTTGCTACCGATTTAACTGTTTTATATGGTGTTGCACTTAAAGATTTTGCTGGCAAGAGATCTACTCTATATAATTCAAAATTCTTTGAACAGTATATTTCCCAGTGCCCCGAATTTTCGGTGTCATTTCTTTATTCTTGCGTGGATTCTTTAAAAATTTCCAGAAACAATTACTCTTCTGTTCGTATTTTGGAGTTTATTAGGGCTTTGCTAAACAAAAAAAGCAAATTAAAGCGTTCTCTTGTTGAAAATGGCATTAGTAGCCACTGTGCTTCTCTTCTTGGTGGATTAACCGACTTTATAAGCAGTTTTACTAGTAACTTTTTTCCAGAATCGAAGCCGCCTCAAAAGAAATATCAAGCCAATCTTAAGTATTTCAGTTTATATTTAAATCATCTCCTTTCCATCTTGCAGCATTTGAAAAACTTAAAAGCATTTGAGAGTTGCAAGGATATTATTATAGAACGGCTTATGACCAAAATACAGTTCATTTCCGATTCTTACTTTTGCAGAGACAAACCCAACGTTTCTACTCTTTGTCGTCAGATTAAAACAATACTGTGGTTAGTTTTTCTATTTTGTTTATTTTATAAATAACAATTTAATTTTTTTTTTCCAGTGATGTGAGTTGTGTTAAAAGGGCCAACGTTCACTCTGCTTCTGGTAAGAGAAAAAAGTTAACTACAGATATCAACACACAACTTGCGCTTGCAAAAAGGAAATTATCGAATTAGGAAAGAAAGTAAAGATTTCCATCAGTTTTATTAGAAGCTTAAGCGAATTGGATAGCTTGTTTATATGATATCATATAAAATATAAAAAGCTGTCTTTATTTTGTTGGTTTCTGCCATTGTGGGACATTCTGATTATTACTTAATTAATTTTCATGGGAAGATTAGTTAGTGCAGAATTTTTAAGTAAAATAACTATGACTACTTCGTTTTTGAAGTAAAAAGTATTACTTTTAAGCTTTTTGTATTTTTACTATGTAGTTGGAGATGTTTTATTTTACAAAGGGCAATCTTAGAGTTCTATCTTTCAGTATTGTTATAAAACAATTTTTTTGGTTAATTTATACAACGTTAATTAACGTGTTGCAATTATATCTTAATTTTCGCATTAAGTTCTGACGTAAAGTTTTCATTAAGGAGATGGGATTTCTTTAATAAAGTACGGTTATATCTTTTAATAACAAAGAATATTATATAACTAGCACACTAACTGGTAGGGTCATAAAAGTTGGTTATTGCAATAAAAACTAACTCCGCAGACTTTTAAACAATTTATTTTTTCTATTATTCAATAATTAAATTCTTACGCTCCACTGTATATCAGTAAAAGTATTTTTAACGATTATGAGGTGCCTCATTAATAATTTGAAGTAAAGTAAACCCTCTTAACTGCTTTATAATTTATGTTAAAAACATTTAAGCCATTAGTCGTTAACTTTCTTATTAATTGATCTACAAATTATTGGTTAAAAGCCCAAAGGTTGTGAGATCTTTAGGGTATAGGTTGTTAAATTGTTATTTTGTGAACGAAAGGAAGAATTTAAACTTCGGGGCCAATTATGTTTTACAGTAATGAAAAAAACGAAAATGGACAATATATTGGGCTTTACGTGCGCAATACACGATGCCCTTGCTACTCCGAGTTTTTCTGGGGGTTAATTTAGTGAAGGCCTTTGTAATGTTTTCTACTAAAGATGTCCTAGTATAGAAGTACTTTTATTCCGCTTCTGTTTATAGTAGGTCGAAAAAGTATTAAAGTTATAGGACCAACTTAAAAGTTAAAGAAGCCATGGATACTGGCACTGTTGTACAGTAAAAATGCACAATAGTATTATAAGGTTTTAGTGGATAGTATTTAACCTTTTTGGTTTACCATGTATTTTTGTAGTTTCTTAAACAAAAACATGTAAAAGTTCTGTTCAATTGATTGATTGGTAGAGGTTGTCCATTTTGTTCATTTGAAAGTTATTTATCATTTGAGCCTCCACTTCTTCTACCCCTTGGAATGGGCTTAGTTACCAGCAGACGATTAATATCGTCGGTTATGGAGGTACATGGCTTCGGAGAACGTTAAATAGAGCCTAGCTGGGAGACATGGTGAAAACAGTCGTTACGCACAAAACACACCGCATAGCCATGACACCAAGTAGACTGTTTTTTGATGCGCTTGACCGGTCATCCGGTGTCTGTGTTAAAGACTAGGCTGTTGAATTCAAATAGGCTCCACTTATCATGAATATCCTGCCAAAACTTCCATTAATAGAAGTCCTGTTTATACTATTATAAACTAGCACTTAATTCGGTATAAGCACAGAACAACTAGAGGTAATATATTACGTCAGCAACACAATATGGAAGAAGAAGAGTGTGTGATTTTACTTACGGGCTTTGGTAATAACCAATACTTATGTGAAAGAAACATATTATTAATAGTCTGCCTATAAAAACTATGCTAATAATATCACATGGTGTTTAACTAGTTTTTAACCTATAAATCTAGGGCCTTTTGACCCACATTCGCTTAATTTATCCTCAAAAATAGCTGAAGAATTAGACGGTGCACAGTTTTTAACTATCAACAGTTTTCAAAATTCTAATTCACAGGAAGAAGCTACCCTCAAAGCTAAAGTTCATACGACAGTAATCCCCGTTTGCTATCAAAAAGCAAAGAAAGTAGTCTTAAAATTACTGGAAAGTTACTTACAAGAGTCCAACGAAGAGCTCTGCTGTAAAGTAAAATGAATATAAGTTTTAACACTTCTTATGTTTACCAACATTTAAATTTTTTATATGTCAGAAATCAAAAAAGTTAAAAGCGTTTATTTTGCTTGGTATTCATCCAGGCAAGGAAATAAAATTAGAAACTCGAGCAAAGAATGGGGTACACCTCTATCTCTCACCTTGTCATATACTGCATTTATAATTTATTTTAAAGGGCGTAAAAAGGCGCGATATTGAAGATTATAGGCCAATCAATGATTATTGTATAGAAGGTGCTGAAGATGAGTTGGTAACAACGTTGGACTTAAACTCAATATGTGATTCTTTAAAAAAGGAAAATTACAATGTTACAATTTCAGGCAATTCATCTTAGGTGTCTTACGATATATATTAATTTAATAATTACAGATGATGCAGGAAATTTTTTATGCAACTATACCTATTTTATAACCCAGTACTATATCAAAAGTAAAAGTAAAAAGGATGCCCAAACTAGAATCCCTTCTTTATTTGTCCACATTCCTTGCGACGAGGTAACATATAGCCTTCAGGAACTACGTCGAGCGGTTCAAGTCATTATCGAGAATGTATTAAAACAAGTTTGCGAACTAGAAGCAAACGAGCATAATAAATAGTGAGGGACAAGTCTAAAACTAGATGTTCAAATTAAATTTCTAATAAACTCATAATCTTTTAAGTTTTCTGCTTCTCTGTTACAAAGTCGACAATCTCTCTCTAGAGCACGAATACTCCGTAATATTTCTCTCTTCGGAAAAGAGTAGCAAAGAACAGAACTTGCAAGTTGCAAATGCTCAGGCTCTTTGCTTAAGTTACCCTTTTTTTTAAAACTTTTCAAGTGCCGAAGAATTCGCAGGTACTCTTTGGCGGGCGATTTTAAAGTGTCGATAAACTCCGTTGAAATTTTGTTATAAAACATTTTTGCAAGAGATTGATCGCCTTTATTTTCTGCGCAGCAGGTGAGTATATAGTTGGCAAAGTCGTTGACTTCAAAACCTAATTCAATTAACTTTTCATATGTTTCAAAACACTTTTTATATTGCGTGGAAATAAAATAAGAGTACACAAGAGCCACATAGGAATCTATTTAATATAATAAATATAAAATTACACAGAATTTAAACTTAAAAATAAAACAAAATAATAAAAGTCAATAACCTGCGTTATAAACTATTGGAGGTTCTAGCTCTAACTTATTCATATACTCAAAAAGTCTTTTAAAACAAAGTACATCACCACAATTAGCTAACACCATCAAACACTCATTTATGGCGTCCATTCTTTCTGTACAGTAATCAGAAGAGAGGAGGAGAGGTAATATAAGATCGAGAGCAATACGTCTATGAGTGTTTTTATTACAAGCTACGCTTAAGTAGAGTAAGGATGTGGCGTTAATTGATATCTTTTTGGCTTTCATATGTTCAAAGTAGTGAAGGGAAGCTGGTACATCATAATTAATAGCGCAACAAAAAAGAACAGCATTGTAGGCTTCGGTGGTGTGCAAATGTGTTTTAGGAGGATTATTAAACCCAGTTATGTTTTTCCAGTTTATAAATTTAGAAGTTTGTGGATTGCCAAGTAGAGAAGTTAAAGACGAAGAAGCTTCATTTTTTTCAGTACACGTAGAAAGCAATTCTTGAGTTAAGTTATTGATGTCGACAGATGAAATTTTAGCGTCGAATTCCAACTTTGAAAAGTTTTTTTTAGCTAGAATAGATGGATAAACCGAGAAGATCCAATGTGTAAAGCGGGGATCAATTCTAGCAGAGGAATAAAGAGCGTAAGTGAAGGATTTCTGGGTCATTTGGAAGTCATTTTCCTTTAGAAACTCTATTAACTCGTTTTTATTACTCAGCAAAGGTTTACTAAATATACTTTGAACTTTTCTCCATAAAAGGTTTAACTTATATACAGAGTATATATAAGTGTGAAACTGTAAAAAAAAGTGCTGATAAAGCGTTCTGCTTATGAAAACTCTTAAATATAGCATAACGATATAATAACGAAACTTTTCCTAATTAATAGTTAAATAGATAAGTATTTATAATTAAATATGTATAGTAAACCATTTACTAATTACAAACAATTGCACAAAGAAGAAATGAGAGCTGCAATATTACTTTACTTTCCTGTAGCTCATGAAGGACAAGCACGTGTTTAAGTACTTGTACTTGTTGAGTAAACTTGGAGTTCCTTAAATCTTTTGCTGGCAAAATACCGCAAAATTTATATCGCCAGTTCACTTACTCACACAGAGGTTAAATTTTTCTCAGCCATAGATATACTGCTTATTGGCCAACCCATCTTTGTTGGTGGGTCTATATTAAATAATAAACTAACTTGTGCACTTTCATAATTAAAACTTGTTTACCATTACGTATCACAAGGATGCTATTGAGGGTTTTATAAGGGTTTTTGTAGCAGTTAAGTTAATTCCTTCTATAATGTAGAAACTTAACCCGGATACGGTTTTAAGCGAATTATTTTAGATTATTTTCTTTAATAGTCCCTTTGATAATTTATTTGCATATATAATTCTTTTAAAAAAAATTATGAAGTGTTAAAGTAAATATATTAGAGATAAAAGGTTACTTTGTTTTTACAAAACAGATCGTAGTCATATTTTTATAGGACACTCCAGCTTAATTTTTTTATATTATAGAGTTTAGCGACTCAATTAGCTGAATTTATTTTTTTCTAAAACTACATTAGCTTTAAAAATCATTTGTTTTGTACTGAAAAATAATTGAAAAAATTGTGGCATATTTACGGTAAATATTTAATTCTTGACGACTTTAAATTTTGTGAATCGCCACTATTAAAATAATTATGATAATAAGCCTAACGGCACTTTCTTTAGAGTTTAGAGTTCATGACAGTTTTGTACAAGGAAGAGAATAAGAGAAACTTTTTATTTTCACCTATTAAACATATAGACTTGGAAAATTTTTTTCATGGCCTAAATAAAAATGAAGATTTTACCGAGAGCTTTTGTTCTTTGAAAAGCAGCGAAGATGAATGCATTGATACTGTCAGTAGTTCCTCATTATTAGAAAGTGAGGAGAAATTGCTGACCACAATGCTAACTCATTGGTATGGAAATTACGAGTTGCACTCCTCCTTTAATTACAATAAGGTGTTTGCATGTTAAAAAACTTTTTTTTCTCTTATAGAGTTTTTTCAATAAAAAGTGCACATTGTTAGGTATACCTGAAGGAGCCAAAAGCCGCGTTGAAACTCAAACCGTAATATATTTGCAGTTTAAAACTAACGATATTTTTAAAAAATGGTCATATATTGTCTTCCCTCATAACTCTACAGGAAAACTTCCCAAACTAAAAGTTAAGCATTTAATTATATACTATTTTTATTAGTTGTTTCTACATAGGTTTTTTAAAAAGATGATATAGGAAATCTCAGTTCAGTTTTCTCAAATTTTTTTAAGCAATTATGTAATATATTTATAAACGACATTTAAGAAAAATTAATTTACATGTTAAAACTTACACTGTATTCTCACAACGCGATTTTATAACTTTTAATAAAGTGTTAAATTTTTTTGGAACTACCAGTCAGTTACAAGTAACTAGGCAAGTTTGTCTCGATATGGTAATCTCGATAAGGTTGGTGAAAGCTCATCTCAAGGAAACCCATGACCACTCAGCTTAGCGTTTTTCTTGTTCTTCATATATTTAAGTTTTAAAGTATGGCCTTCAAAGAGATAATAATTTAAAATAAATGAAACTTCTAATAGAAGCAGCTTTTTTAATAACTGAAACGTATAGCGGTAATAACAGGAGATTCTCCCTTTATAACATAATCAATATTTTTGAAGTTTGATAAAGAATTTTGAAAAGTTTAGTGAGAATATAAATAAACTAACAGCTCTTTGTCTAGCTAAGTTTGGAACATTTAGCGGAGACAATATATCTAGAGGCTTTTGTTACCTGCGCTTCTGAACCCACCCGCAAAGTCCAAGTATGCGACGGCTGTGTTATAAGGGAAAGAAAAAGGTTAAGAAGAGCCAAAAGCCGAAGAAAATTAAAGAGTACAAATTTCATTCTGAAAAACTACTTCTATATATAAGAAAATAATTTTTTCATTAAAAAAAAGTTGATTCTCCGATTTCTGAAGAAGAAAGAGGAAGAATTATTATTTTTAATTGCAGACCTATTGAAGTTTTTAGTAATAATGAACACGTAATTCCTACTCGTATTACTTGTTATTGCAGACATCACAATGAACAGAGAGGATTTCGGTAAAAAGTAGAGTATATACAACTTTTTATCATCCAAAGTTTTTAATTTTAAACGTTTATACAAGAATTTACTTTGTCCTTAAAGATTGGAAAAAGAGAATTTTAGCCGCGACGTACTCTCCACCGCTTTTAATTACGTAGCTTTCAATTTTTAATAGTTTAGTCTATTTAAAAATCCCAAGAATGAAATTCGCTTAGAGATGACCATAAGACAAAAGCCAGTGGAAACAAAAAAAAATATCATAAAAAGGGTTTTTTAACTATACTTCTGCGATACTTACGCAGAAGGTAAAAACTTTGCTATTCAAGCTTAACAGGTGTTACGGATCTTCTAAGCAAACAAAGTATTTCAGAGTAAGAACTCAATTTTGCCAAGTTTAAAAGTTTAAATAAAAAGTTTAAGTTACTTTTAATTTCACTTAAACAGCTTTTCTTTATTTAATGAACCCTTGAAGGAAAAAATATATAACGAACGTTGGTTTAACGATGTGATAGGCTATGAAAATCCACTCTTATGCCCTCACTTACCCGAACCTTTTCCTCTAGAAGAAACGGTAATTGCTTTTCTTATAACTTTTTTATTGCCTTTGAATCCTCTGCTATAGAATTCAACATTTTCTAAATTCTCTCCGCTGGCGAAGGCGGCTATCACTGGTCAGGCTACCAAAGACGAAAGCCGCGCTGGTTGCACCTACGAGTACCTGTACGTCTCAGAGCGAAGAAAAAAAAAATCTGCTAGAGGAGTAAAGAAAAGAGTGCTCAACGCTGGCCCGGACATCCGCCTAATACCGGCTGAGGGGCCGGCCAAGGGAGGCTACCCGGTGGCTCTGGTCGGCTTCGACCTTCCCGGTAAATTCCGTCCGGTCCACAGCGCACGCAACTTCATTGCAAACTAATTTTTCTAAGAGTGCTTGGTGGAGTGCTGCATGTTCGGTGAGGAGCTGGTGCCGTGGGAAATTATTGGAGGCGATGTCCTCGTATGCATCGCGCCGGAAAGAAAATGCACTGGAGCAGTAGCAGTGGTCGTACGCTACTACTCCTGGCGGAACTCGCACTGTCCTTTGCAGTCGCCGCCAATTCTTTTTGTCTACACATGAAGTTCAAAGTATTTATTCCAACTCATTGGAGCATTTTAAGACTTCATGTTCATGTTCTCCGCTCAATTAAAAGCATTTAAAAGAAACATAACTTTTTATATATTCTATAAGATATACTTCATATTTTATTAAAATTACCCTGGCATACTTTAATACTTACTATAAAAGCAAAAGAAGAAGACGCAGAGTACTCGTGTGTTGCAAAGTAAGTGAAGGGGAATCTAGTTGAATATAATAAAAATCTAATCAATTTTAGATTTCCGGTTAAATCCTACCAATTCTAACTCTCGTAAAACTACAAGCTGTAGTTCCAGTTAATAAATGAGGAACTAAGCTATACTCACTTTTTGAAATTATCCATTTAAGTAAATTTAAAGGTTACTAGACAAATGCAGCAAATAAATTTAAGCAGTTGACTGCAATATTTAGTGGTTTTTGTTTCTATTAAGTTTAATTAATTTTAAGGGAGCCACACAAAACTCCTGTTTTTAAAAACTAAAGTTATATGATAAAACTTTTTGTATTGGTCACCAGAATTAGGAACGCTTCTCTTTTATAAATTGTTTTGTCTTATTCTCAATCCAACATAAGCAGGTCTTTTTCGCTGATTCTCTTGCGCCAGCTATTTAGAATACTTACGTATCACATCAAACATAGCATTAAGTGAGTATAAGTTCGCTTTCGTAAAAACTTTATGATAGTCTAAAAAGTTTTTGTATGCTAAAAAAAATATAAGGTTATTTATGGTATAACCTAGAATTTGCTACAAAACTTTTATTAAATTAGAACTAGTACTTGGTTTAGTGCTGGTTGCTTTTTCTAATCAGTTTATAAAAAAAATTTAAAGATAGAGAACGGCTCTTATGAAAAAAAAAAGATGTAGGAGTAACTTTTTAATACAAAAATAAGAAGCTGTAGAAAGTAAGATGCACTGGATTTTCGAATAACCTATAAAAGAAAGTTACTTTAAATAAGCTCACTTCATAATATAAGAAGTAGTGCTAAAAATGATTCAATTTTTTTTAATTTGATCGAAAAGAAAAGTTTATAAGCTAGCTGAAGACTACATTAAGCAATGAACAAAGTGTATTAAATAGTCTGTTATTTAAAAAGTAATATGACAACTCAGAATCTATAAATTGCATATAATAAGACTAACATACTATGTTGTACGAAGAACAACTTCATTACTTTAAAAGCTCGGAGATAATGTTTAATAACTTAATAAAAAATTACAAAAAACTTTTTCTTGACTTGTTACAAGGGCAGTTCTAGGCCTATAAAGATTTATTGTTTTTTAAACAATGCAGTGTGGTAGTTGCTTATAATGTTTATTCCCTTGAAGGTATGCTGCAAACCTTTTCTGGTTATTAAACACAGCTATGTTGTTTCTTTAATTAGTAGCAAAAAAACTTTGATGTCCTCCTGTATACAATATAATAATTTTTTGTTACCTAAAGCAATTAAATTCTCTTTACACTCAAGCTTGCAAGATAACTTTCGAGTAGGCGATTTAAACTCAACTCAATTAATATTGGCATGTTCTGTTTGTGGGATAGATAAGGAGAGCTTACAAAGAATATTTTTACTTAACATTAAAAAATTTAAAACTTTCAAACATTATGATTTTGTAGATAAAGCCGTGGATGGTCTTGTTAGTAGAGGTTTTAATTTACCCTTTGCGGTGGAAAACATATCTAGAGAGCTCGGTTCTACTCCATTTCGTTTCGGAGAAGATGCCTTTTTTTACTGCGAAAAAACAACTGCCCTTAATCCTTTAAAAAGTGAAAATTTATTCCCATCTCCTTACCAAACTTATGACTATATGGGCGTTGCCGACGGCGTTGGCGGCTGGCGCGACTCTGGCGTGGATCCTTCTATTTTTCCTTGGGCTTTAATGAACACTTGCACCTCAATTATATCCTCTTTGTCTAAAAAAGAATCTATTTTTATGCCTGTTAACTTATTGGACTTAGCTTTAAAAAAAGTAACGTTTCAAAAAAATTGTTAAAGCCGGAAGTAGTACAGTCTGTTTGGCTTTGTTTGATAGAGCTAAACGGTTATTGCACGGGGCTAACATAGGCGATTCAGGTTTGTTCTTTTTTTCTCCTTTACATTACTGGAACCTATAACTTTTATGTAACTTGCTGGAAATTATAAGGATTGTGTGTGGTGCGAAAAAATAAGATGATTTTTAAAACCTCTGGACAACAGCACTATTTTAACGCACCTTTTCAGGTGGGTGTGGTACCACCAAATCTCCTACAGGAATCTTTACTTAACAGTGCTAAAGATTCTGAAATATTTGAGGTTACATTATTAATAAGGTCTTTCAGTTGTTATTTCGTTAAAATAGTCATTACTGTAGATACCACTAGAGAAAGACGATTTTGTTATTTTGGCTACAGACGGAATTTTTGATAATCTTTTTGATCATGAAGTTGAAGAATGCATTAAAAAACATGGTGGAGAAGCAAGTGGGTCATATATACTTTTTAACTATTGTGCATTAACATTTTATATTGGAGTTTCTACTACGGTGGTCGCCGTAGAGCTCATTCGCTTAGCTGCTAAGCACGCGCTGGACGCCCGAAGGGACGGCCCTTTTAGTAAGTCTGCCCGTCAGTACGGATATAACATGAAAGGAGGAAAAGTTGATGACCTCTGCACGGTAGTGGCCCACGTGACGACCGGGTAGGCAATACTCGACTTCTATTTGAATTTATACGCAAGAAAACTGTTACGTTAACCTTTTCAAATTGTAAATTAGTAAAAAAAACTCTCCTTTATTAAAAAGTTTGAACATCAAAATGGAGAAAGTAATTAGTAAAAGAATTCATTGATCATATCGATAGTGATATCGTTATAAGCTGCTGGATCCCAAGCGGGAAGGTGTCCTTTATTGATGAGTGTAGCATTGACGCCTTCTTTAAAGTCGTTTCGTTTCTTGTGATTATAAATTTAAGTTAATATAATAAGTTGGCTTTGCTTCATCTCATTACCACGCAGCGCATAGCAAGTTTGTAGTCCATCTCTAAGACTTTCTGTAGAGACATCTTCAAGCCATCTTGAAGTATTTTGACGGCTAACTTGCAACTCACCGGGCATCTTCTTTTAATTATATTCGCCTGCAAATTTGTCCATTCCGACTCGTTTTCTAATTGCTGCAATATTATTTCTAACTGGAGTTGAAGTTAGAACAACAAAAATATCTTATTTTAATAAAAATTTGCAAAAGGTAGTAGTACATAAGTTACATTATCACCCAAAAAGCATTTATTAATCTCTTCTAAGTGCGGAGCTAAGGAGTACCCGTCTTCTACGTGCTTTTGAAAAGAATCGAGTATGGAGTCGACCTGGTCACTGTTGGCCTCAGCAAGCCTTCAAAGATTTTTGTTAGTAACGTTGAACATTGAGGAAAGAATAAGTTTTGTACTCTTGCTTTAGAAGACGGAGAAGGCCGGACGATATATAATGCGTTGCAATTCCGGAGTAGTAAACATCAACACCTTTAAGATGGGCTCCTGTAAGAGCTAAGTAACTGCCTAACTGGCCTTGAAGCCTTGGTAAGAAATAGCCGGCTTGAAATTATCGATTAGACTTGGAGATGTAACATTACTTTGAATAAAAAAAATTGATAAAAAAAACTTATTACAAGCTGCATGTAAGATGAAACTCTCAACGCTTTATTTTGGCAACAATACAATTAAAAAGGCGACCTCCTACATCAGGGAACAGCCCTAGAGCAGTTTCAGGCATAGAAAACAAGGTATTTTCGGTAGCTATACGGAATCTGCCGTGGACGCAGAGGCCGGCCCCCCCTAATTTAGATTACATTTCGGTTCTTAAAAGCAGAATCTTTTCAAATTTTAACTTTATGGTTACCAACCTCCCATGGTTATACCATCCAAAATGGCAACATAAGGTTTCGTTAGTCGAGAAATTTGATAAACTAAGTCGTACTCAGACTTAAAAAATTGAGAAACTGAATGCATATCCTTTTCTTTCACAGACTGAAGCAAAGCTATTTAAGTTTAATTATCAGCTAAACAAAAGTAAATCAATGTAAACGCCCACAACTCACCTTTAATATCACCGCCGGCGCAGAAGCTTTTAGGCCCTACACCTTCACACGCCACAACTTCAAAATTATTTTTTACTTATTTATAAAACTACATAAAAAGTTGTAAATATAATTATAGAGAACTTTTCACTTTTTCATCTTTATCCCATTTATTATATATGGAGCGCAATATTGTACACATGTTTAAGGTTAGAGCGTTCAGAGACATAGGCCTATTTAATTTCGCAAGTGCTAAGTTTCCCTGCCTCAGACCAAGAACTTCTTGGGTCACTGCGAACATGGTTATAAGTAACCTTAAAAAAAAGTATTCTGAAGTTAAAAACGTAATAATTAAGTAGTGTAAGTGAATAGTAGAGCAACGTACCTTATCAAACTATCTACTAAAAACACGCCCAACTTTACTAATACTCTACATTAGCCCTGGAGGGAGTTTCTGGTATTCACAGCAATTGTGTTGCTACCATTAAAATACCATTAAAAATCCTTCAGATGAAAAAGCGCCTTCTGATTTGTTATACAACTTTTTATTTTCTATTTAAGTGGTTTTTCGGGATTGTTAAAAAGCTTTATTTCATTTTTGGATATTTAAAAAACAGTAACGTTTCATTCTTTCATAGATCAATTTATTAAAATATCATAATTTTCTTAAAGTGATTATTATTAAAATTACGCAGTACGCTACCAAACAACTTTTACTTTAAAAGCAGAAATTATTAGCTTAAAACATGAATATTTAGGCTAATTCAAGCGTTATTTTAACAGGGATACAAATTTGTGTAGCGGCCACCATGCAAGAATCTTAATAATTGCCTAAATTTCGTGTTAATGACTACTAATACTTTTTAGTAATTATAATACTCTCACTATACTATTAAATCTTTAAAGATCCCGAGTAAATATTTATAAAGAAACTTTATAAAAGATACTTTTTAGAATTATTATAAGTTTAAACAAGAAATAAATTTCAATTCTTGATAAAATGAAGACACTTCAAAGACAATAAAAGTATGAATTATAAATTTGAGGGATTTCTTAACATTAAATTTATTAATCTTTTACTTGGTATAGAAAAATTTTTTTAAGGAGCTAATTTAAATGCTATGAACCCCGGAACGGAAACACAGCAAGAACCTAACAAGCTATTTATAAACTTTCCCAAACTTTTACCTATAACGTTAAATAAACTGTAATTAACTTGAAGCTTAAGTATAAAGGAGCAGGAGTAGTAATTATATTTTGATCCCACAGCGCGGTGCTACTAGAAGCCCTGAGTAATTAACAGGTTATCATGAATAAAAGAAAACTTCAGTTACTTGAACGGCGGTCAATAAGTATATAATGGAAGTCAACTCCTGACATATTATTACAGCAATCGCTAACCTTTTTCTATGGATGGTGTAATTTTTGTCAATAGAAAAGTTAAGAAATTTCTAGTTTTGCCTTGTAGAAGCTCACTGAATTATTCACACGACTCATAACCTCTGTCATGTAAGCCAAGTCCCACAACCAATGTTTATTTTTGTGAAGTGAGCACTCATCAGGGAGTTGATCACTCTCTTCTAAACTCCCCAAAAAACTGGATATCATAAGTGTCAAAATGGAGATAGCCAACAAAGAGTGTGATGTAATGGTAATTCTCGCTGTTCTTCCCCTTCATTTGAACTTGTGAAAAAAATTTGGGCGAATTTCTTCAAAGAAGAGCCCTAACTCGAATATGGTTAATACACCAATCACTGGATTGAGAACAGAATAAAAGTTCATATTCTTGGCACTGAGAGCTTTTAATGGTTTTTAAAAACTTTGCGTTGTAAAAAATCCTTCTAACAAACTTTCAAAACCTTTTATCTTCCAGGTCATTGCCGTGGCCACATCTGTATAAACACTATCCACTTCGTCCAAATTTAATTGTCGATTTCTAATTACATCTTTCAGTTACGCAAAATATGTTCTATTTTTAGCTGCCGTATATCTTGAAGTTCTTTTATTATACAGAATTTTTTTTTTAATAAGTTGCGCAGATGCTGGGTAATATCGAGCGCAGAAAGCTTGATCTGGCATATAATTTATATTTTTAGGCTTATTTCGTATTCATTTTCGGTGGTCGTCTCAGAAAAAACTTTACATATGTGTATAAAGATATAGCAAAACTCTAAAATGTGCGCTTTAATGAAACCGTGGGGCCTTTCGAAGGTTCGTGGTTTGGCCGCCTACTTACACGTTCAAAAGAAACTGAAGTTGCATTTCGGAAAAAGACTTCAAGTCGTTCCAAGCCCAGGTAGTCATGTAACGTATCGTTTCGAGCGAAATAAGGCTTGCGGTCATTACGCAGGAGCTTGGTTTGCTGCGTCTGGAGAGGTGCAATTAACCGTCGACGGTTTTTCCTATGTCCAAGAAACAAATGCGTAGGTTATAATAGGGTGCAAACATACTTTAAAAGGCCCGGTTTATTATGCAGGAAACATCATGCTTTTAGCACACAGCAGCGGGTAGAATGCGTGAATTGCTGCTTTGACCTCAGTCGTGACGCATTCTGTGTTTCCGCTTATGTTAGTCGCTTTTCGATGACGAGGCTCAAGTATTTAGCCTGCGAAGGGTTAGAGGCGGGGGTAGCGTGATGCATCTCAAGATGAGTATTGTTTTGCTCTTCGTTCCAATGATAGTTACCTCCAGTGCCATAATCAGTTAGCAATTGTATTCAAATAGCGCTGCAGGTATTGCCGTAATAGTGAGGGGCTCTTGGATGATGCATAAATTGCAGAGACATCTGCATAGAGTGCAACGCGGGTGTGAGAGTTCGCAGGGAGTAGAATATTATGTATGCGTGGCGGGAAGAGTAGGGGCGAGAGCAGAGAACCTTGCGTCGACGGTATGGCGACAGCGCAGTCCTAACTCTCACTCGAAAGGAGCATCCCGCATAGACACGGCGCAAGTATGCTGTGGGGTTAACGGTGTACCTAATGTGCGTAGTTTGCATAGGAGACCCTCGTGTTATACGCGGACAAAGGCCTTTTCAACGTCGAAAAGGACCACGCCCGTTTATTTCTTAAATTAAAGTTCCGAATTGTCTCTCAACAAAGCGCAAAAGTTGTTGTGGCTTCGAATGACCTCTTCGGAATCCATATTGAAAATCTGGAAGCGTGTGTGTTCCTACAAACTCTTTCCAGCCTGGATAAAAGAACCACCTCCAGTTTAGCCCACCGCTGGAAGAAGGCTAATGGGGCGATATTTGCTGAGGACTACCGCAATCTGAGGAGTCTTTGGTAGCCTCCTCCGTGGCTGTTTTCCATCGCGCTGGAAGGAGCCCAGCGCCATTGCAGTTGCCAAACAAGAGAGATGGTTAAATGCACCGGTGGTAGTTTTTTTAAGCACTTCGTAGGTAATGCCTTCGGGGCTGAGTGCTTTCCGTCCGAAAAATGCAGAAACTATAACAGTGATTTTATTAGGTGAGCCCGGTTTGATAATTTCGCAGCAATGGTCGAGGGTTCCTGCGGTATTTTGCCTTCGTCCTCAAAGGTTGCCCAAGTTGGAGATACGCAATGAACAGCTAGATGGTCTGCGCTTTCCGTCACTATTACGCCATTATTAAGTGGCGGAAATGATTTGTAGTAACATTTTTAATACTTTTGACGAAGCGCCAAAAAGATTAGCCGTCCTTCCTCGGCCCCTATTGATACTTCCTGCAGTTTCACCTTTAGCAAATATTTTGAAGGGCAACCAGCTCCCTTCCAATAGGGAGGTGAGTTGTCGGCGGGGTTATGTGTAGCAGTTACCAGGCGTATGAACCGGCGACGATGTCGGTCAGGGCGATACGCGGCTTCGCGGCTAGTTGTTGCGACCGCATGGGAAGCTGTCAGTGCGCCCTCAAAACTATTAACTGTATCTTCTAAAAAATTGGGGGTCAGGTGTTAGCTATGCTTCAACCGCAGCTGTAAATTTGTTCCAGCCCGTGAATGACCGTGATATCGAATTGTTCGCTGCCACAACGCATATAAGTGCAGGAACGTGCAGTGTCAGTTACATCGCAACTCTCGTCCAAAGCAAGAGAAAAGTAGGAGCACGCGGTCCTACGTTAAAGTATTTGTTTACCAACATCTCTCTCATTTCATCTTTTCTTCACATAATAGTATTTCTTAGAAGGACGATATCATCTACCATTCTTATAATTTTTAGATCTGCTACTGTTTTAAAAAAGATTTTTAAACACATGGTTTCACTATTTCTTCAGCTGTAGAATAAACTTTTTTTTTCTATGAAGAAGCGAAATTTTATGACACTTTGACCATAGTTTCCTGCTGAGTACTAGCCCTCCTAAAAATTGTTTGATGATTAGAAAAAGATTTTTTCTTTTCCGCTTATGTAATCTGCTCTAAACTCTAAATTTATGGGAGCTTTGTATTAAAGACAGGATGCATTTAACTAAAATACCACCCCGAATTAAATTTTTTGACACGACTACACATGCATTATAAATGAGGCCTACTGGCTTAGAACGAACGCCTTTTTCAAACAGAAACTGGTGGTCCCATTCAATGTTAAATTCTCGAAGAGCAAAATCATCTTTGTACTATCTTTCCTCAGCTGAAGTAGACGGCTTGTTTAAACACATTATGGAACTATATGTCATCTTAGCACCATTCACGACGTATTCATTAATTTGCTAATCTTGCTAACAATAATTTTTTTCTCTACACCTTTTGAACACAAATTTCTTGTCTTTTTATTTTACTCACTCTCGACGTTTGTGCAATTTTAATAAAAACCATTTTGTAACGTTAGTGTTAGTTAATTTTTATTGCAACCTAGATTAAAAATAAAATAGACTTCTCCTCGCACAATTTAAATCAAAACGTGCATTTTTTTTATACAGTATTGTTCAGGATCTTGGCAACACAAAAGTACTATAGCATACAAAAAAAAACTATAAATGTTTTGGCGCTGTGTATATCTGGCTCCCCTACTTTTACCCAATATATGGCGGGTATTCTTTTACATAACTTTAGACCAGCAAAGAGTTAAAGCATTCTGCCATAAACTTTTATTAAAATTTTTAATTTTTAATTTTTAAAGGGTCTGATATATTACATAATTAATTTCCGATTTCTCATAAATCTTTTTAACTGCATATTTTGCACTAACAATAATTTTAACGATTTTCCTGAGCACCTTTATGGTTTTTGAGGCAGTATAAAAAAAATTATCAATACTAATTAAGTTAGAAAATTTTTTCTGATCTTGAGAGGTGTTGGCGTAACGCAACAGAATTTTGTATTTTACAATATATTTATAAAAAACTTCATGGTTACTAAAATCAAATAGCTTAAAGCCTAAATATATAATATATAATCTCTAATATAGAAGTTGTCAATAGAGTAAATGATACTTACTTTTAAATGAAGGTAAAATTGTAAGGTA